AGCCCCCCGCCCCCTGCCTCCCCCCCCCCCCCCCCCCCCCGAGACGAGGCTGATTACCCCAGCCTGGGAAGCACCTTGGGTCTTCCACCCTGTTGTGGGAGTCCCCAGCTCCCATGGGGGTCCCGCTGTCCCCAGCTCCTTGTCTTGGGGGCTCAGGTTGAATTTAGCCCAAGGGTGGCACCCGGGGACCCACCACCCCTGTGCCAGCTTCGGGGACCCATTGGTGGGTGGGAGGGTGGTACGGCCCGCTCGGGGCTGTCAGCTGCAGATGGTGGCAGCAGGACTTCTCCCCGGCAGTAGATGACAGCCAGGAGAGCCACGTGTTCCCTGGGTAATTGTTTGTTCCTGTCAGCTTGGGTATTTTTGGAGCTTTTCCTTCCTCTGCTCTCCCCTTTCATTTGGGAGGCAGCGGCTGGTGGAGAGCGGTCGGCCCTGGCAGGTGTGTCTGGGGCACGGGCGATCTCCCACGCCGGGGGTCCCTGTGCGGCTCCGAGTACGCTCCATGGGCAGGTCCTGGTACCAAATACTGTAGAATAATAATAATAATAACAACAACAACAACAAAACAACAATAATAATAACAATAATACAGTATATATAATCTAATACATAAATATACATATAATATTATAATAGACAGTGATGCTGGCTGTCCCCACGCAGTCCCCCGGGCTCCCAACCTGGTGACGCTAGGGGATCTTTGGGATCCCAGAGGCTCGTGCCTGGCCTCGAACCAATCCCCCACTTGTGACCCCCCCCATCCCTGAGTGAAGCCGCAGCTCCCAGAGTTCTGTGATTCCCCGGGAACCCAGTTGCCAGTGACGCAGCTGGTGACCTTCCTTTGGGCAAAGAGCCGCCCAACGCGTGACCCTCTCGGCAGCACAGGACAGGCGGCCGAGCCGAAGGATCCCCAATTATTTTCTGAGCAGTGTGCTGAGGCTGAGCCAATGATTTCCCCCTGCCTCAGTTTCCCCAGAGGTACCCCAGAGCCAGGCGGGGGCTGTTTATGCCATGTTGCCTCCTCCAAGCCCCGCCAGGCACATGGAACCGGCAGCAGCCCTGCGGCCTCTCCAGCGCTGGCAGCGGGTGATAAGCGGCTGGCGAGTGGCTCGTCTCTGAAATCAAATTACCTTTGATATCGCCAGGGCTATTTTCATCCCTTCTCGGTCACGTTGGTCCTCCACCCGCTGGCACCCGCGTCATTTAACCGTTCTCCGGGTGCTGTGTCATTCCCTCCCTGCCTGGTCCCCTCCTGTGAGCCCCGAGGACACCCCTCGCCCCCGCCACCCCCTGGCATCGGCAGCGTTGGTACCTGGCTCTGCCCAGCTGCCCGTTTGCCTCCCCATCGCGGGCAGAACCTGGATACCAGTCCCCCCTCCACCTCCTGCTCGCAGCACTGGTGTAAAGCTGGGGGGGTGGGGGGATCAGCCAGAATCGGGGGCGTTAGTTCGCGTGGTGCTGAGCAGGATATGGCCCAGATGCAAGCACCCCCCCGCATGTAATCAGCCAGCTGGGAGGGGTCCCCTATGGGCAGGATGGGAACCAGTCCCTCGGTGCCCCTGGGATGGGGACAGGGCTGGGGCGCAGTGGGGGGTATTTTGGGGCTCCTTGCTACAGTGGAGTTAGGGGAGCATCGCCACCACCCCTGGGGCTGCCATCGGGTGGGGAGGGTTACAGTCCCCCCCGGGTTTCCTGTATGAAATCTGGGTCAGCAGTTTGGGAGACCGTGAGAGCCTTAACCCTGGTGCTGTTGGGCCGGTGCCCCATGGCGGAAGGTTCCCCCAAACCCCACCTTTCCCCCTGGGATGTGTATGGTAACATCGTCTGTTTTCCCAAATGGATCTGAATTCAGAAGTGGGGGGGGCAAGGGGGGTTAAACACCCCCTCGACAGATGAAGGCTGGTCATTTGGGGTTGCAAGTTGTCCCAAAGGGGCAGTTTTTTGCGGGGGGCCTTTGCTCCCCACCGGTGCCCACCTCCAGCTCATGCCTGATACCCCTCCTTCATGCCTGGCACTGGGGACCCCTGATTCCCAGCAGCAGAAGGGATCCCACCGCCCTTCCCCACCTTGCAGCTGGGGGTGGAGGGGGTGGCCAGGTCTGGGGTCCTCCCACCCCCTTGGCATCCTGGTGGGGGTCCCCAGCCCCCTGCACGGGGTTCTCAGGCTGAATCTCTTCTCTCCCTCTCTGTCCCTGCAGTTAAAAAGGCAAAGTTCGATGGGCCCCAAGGTAAGTGGCCCCCCCACCTGCCTGCCCACCCGGGGAGGGGCTGGGGCTCGGGGCTTCACTCTTGGGCTGGTTGGATGTGGCAGGATCAGAGGAAGGGCTGGGGGGTGGCGAGGGGACCCCAGGCTCAGCCTCAGCTCTGGAGGCATCATTTGGGAAGTGGGGGGGGAACACACACAGAGATGGGGGTGCCCTGGACAGGAGGGGGGGGCTCACAGCCAAGCCACCCATGGCAGGGATAGCATCCATCCTGCCTGGCCAACTGGGGCTGGGATGCTGAGGGCAGCGTGGAGGAACCCCACGGGAGGGTGGCAGTGGGGGGTGTCCAGGGAATGGGGGCATGGCTGGGGGGGGGGGGGCACTGGGGGCCACTTCACCCTCCGCTTGCTCCCGCAGAGAAGTTTAACACCTATGTGACACTGAAGGTGCAAAATGTCAAGAGCACAACCATCGCGGTGCGGGGCAACCTGCCCTCCTGGGAGCAGGACTTCATGTTGTGAGTGTCCAGGGGCCACCCCACATCCCCTACCCCTGCTGCTCCCCCCCTACCCCCCCATCCGTGGGAGGTCCCCCACTGCCGATGCTTCCCCTGACCCCAGCCCTGGGGGGCTCACCTGAGTCCTGGGGCCAAGGGGACAGGTAGAGGCTGGGGTGGCCGCAGGGGGCTGCTGGGGAGGGGGGTGACCTGATGCCTCTGCCTGCTCCCCAGTGAGATCAACCGGCTCGACTTGGGCCTGACGGTGGAGGTGTGGAACAAAGGGCTCATCTGGGACACCATGGTGGGGACGGTGTGGATCCCCCTCCGGACCATCCGGCAGTCCAACGAGGTAGGGAGCCAGGCACGTCCATCCCTACACCAGAACCTAAGGGACACGTAGCCACCCCTCCGGCTGGCTGTCCTTCGAGGGGGCGCAGAGCCTTCCCCATCCCTGCTTGGAGAGACCCCCGCTTGGGGCCAGATCCTGTCTGCATGGGGTTGTGAGACCGGGGAAGGGGAGTGCCTGGCAGCTCTTCTCACCCCCATTTCTGCCCTGCAGGAGGGCCCTGGGGAATGGCTCACGCTCGACTCCCAGGTCATCATGACCGACAACGAGATTTCGGGCACCAAGGACCCCACTTTCCACCGTATCCTCCTTGACACCCGCTTCGAGCTGCCGCTGGGTGGGTACCATCCCTGGGCACCCCAGGACCGGGGTGCATCCTTCCTTGTCCCCAGCCCCAGGGATGCTCATGAACCTCAGGGCTGGGGCTCAGGTCTGATCCTGTAGCCCCAAAAGCTGGGGGGCTGTTTTGGGGGGAGGGGTCTGTGCATCAATCAGGGTCTTTGCCCTTGCAGATATCCCTGAGGAGGAGGCCAGGTATTGGGCCAAGAAGCTGGAGCAGCTCAATGCCATGCGGGACCAGGACGATGTAAGTCAGTGCAGAGTCAGGCCCGGGGCGAGGGCTGGGCAGCAAGCAGCAGTGCTGCGAGCAGGCAGCCCTCACCAGCCTGTCTCTCCCCAGTATGCCTTCCAGGAGGAGCAGGAAAAGCCTCTGCCCGTTCACAGCTCCCAGTGCTGTAAGTGCTGCCCTGTCCCTGCTGCGCAGCAGGACCCCCCCACTGCACCGTCCCCCCAGCTCCCCACATTGGGGATGCGCAGGAGTGGGGTCCGTGCCTGCCTTGGGGTGCTGGACCCCAACCCAAGTGGGGCTCAACCTCACCCCACACCCTGTCCCCATCCCTGTTCCCATCCTCCCTCCCGTGTCTGCTGGTGTTTCTTTGCTGTCTCCCTGCCCCACAGTGTGGGAGCCCTCCCGTGGGGCTGAGTCGTAGTGGACAGGGGTGTGGGGGGACATGGCAATGGCGGGGGGGTAAGGACTGTCTCCCGGGGAGCCTGGGCAAGGGGCAGCAAGGCTGGCGAGAGGCTTGCTCAGTGAGGGCAATGGCAGAGGTATCTGGGGGATTTGAGGTGGCAGCTTGGTTTGTCCCAACCCGTGCCTCAGTTTCCCCTTCTGTAATCACACTAGGGCCATGCACACCCTGGCACTGTCCCAAGCACAGCTCAGTGCCTCTGTGCCCAGCCCCAGGCCCTGTCCCCTGTGCAGTTCAGTGCCACCATGCCCAGCCATAGCACTGTCCCCAGCCTGGGTCAGTGTCACCGTGCCCAGCCCCAGGCACTGCCCCCAGCATGGCTTGCTGTCACCATGCCCAGGCCCGGGCACTGCCCCCAGTGCACTTCACTGCCACCATGCCCATCCCTAGGCCCCATCCCATCTTGCTGCTGCCTTGCCCAGCCCCAGTCCCTGTCCCCAGCATGGCTCAGTGACAGTGTGCCCCATCTCAGGGCACCGTCCCCAGCCCAGCTCTGTGCCACCATGCCTGGGAGATACTGGTTCTTCCTAGCCAGCTCATGCTGCTGCCCTGGAGCTGCCTCCATCCTTATTGTCTCTGCCCCTTTTTTTTGTAGGCAACTGGAATTATTTTGGCTGGGGAGAACAGCAGAGTAAGTATCCTGTTGCCTCCTCTCCTCCCAGCCTGGCGGTCCCCGGCGCATCCCCCTTTGCCATGCCATAGCCTGGCCCAGGGCTCAGGGGACCTGGAGCTCTGGTCCAGCCTATGGCCTCGCGCTGTGGCTCTGCGCTGGGTGAGGATGGAGGCACCAAGCACCCTGTCTTGGGCAGGGCTGTCCCCACAGGCTGGTGGGGACATGGCACCGTGAGGCTCTGTGCCCTCGGGGTGCCCTGGTGCAATGAGCAGCTCAGGCTTTGCCTCTGTGGTGGGATATCAGTGGGGCAGAGGGAGGGTCCCTGCACCCTGTCCTCCTCTTCCCCGCTTCTGTATATCCCATTTCCCCCCTCTGCCCTCCCCTCCTCCCTCAAAACCCCTTTCTGCAGAAGGGAACACGTGTAGCTTGACCCTTACCCCTTCCTGGGTCTGTCTCCCCAGCACAGTCCCACAGCAGTGGGGACAGAGTGGTGGCAGTAGCGGGGCTGTGCCGGGCACGGGGCAGATTTGTGGCATCCCTGGCTGCAACAGCCGTGCGGCTGTCCCCTGTCCCACTCACCGCGGCCCCTTGCAGATGATGACCCTGACAGCACGGTGGATGACCGGGACAGCGATTACCGCAGCGAGACCAGCAACAGCATCCCACCGCCGTACTACACCACCTCCCAGCCCAATGCCTCCGTCCACCAGTACCCCATGAGGCACCAGCAGCAGAGCTCCCGCGACTCCTACACCGACTCCATGCAGAGCTACGAGATGGACTACTCAGACCAGCGTCCCATCAGGTAGTGTCGGCGCAGCCAGCTCCCCCCCGGGACCTGCTCTCTCAATCCCCCTCAACAGGTGGCAGAGGCCAGCGGGTCCCCGGGGTGGCACCAGGGACGGTGCTCTGGGTGACAGAGGCATGCTGAGGCGAGGAAGAGGGGAATGGTGCTGGCCCCAAGCCTTTCCTTCTCACTGGAAAGTTTTCAAGCTCTTTTGAGTCACCACCCTCCTCTGTCCTCACCGGGCTTCAGGACCCGCAAGCCCCAGCTGTCCTTGCTGGGAGCTGAGCTAGTGGGCTGTGGCCTGGCTGGGGATGCAGACGTGGCTTTAGGCAGAGCCACAGGCGGGGACGCCTGCCCGGCGCTTTGTCCCCGTGGTCGCAGCATGGCCCAGTTCCTCGCCAGCGTCCAGCCCAAGGTGCCAGCGCCGTCCACCAGGACAGAGCCTCCCTGCCAGCATCCCCACGGCGGCAGGGGATGCCGGGGCGCGGCGGGTGGTGGCGGCGGCGGCACCTGGAACCTTGCTGATCATCTTCCTCTCCTCCCCGGCAGACGCTATGGTAGCGTAGACTCTGCCGCAAACGGACGCAGCGACGCTGAGTCCGCTTCCGAGTCGAGCAGGCGGACCAGCCGCCAGCCTTCCCTTGAGAGCAGGCGGTCCCTAGACCTATCGGATAGGTGGGTCGCTACCTCGTCGCGTGCCGTGTGCCGTCGCAGAGTGCTGTGGTCGGTCCTTGCAGCCGTGGTGAGGCCAACACCAGTCCCGGCAAGGGTGGCCTCGTGCCGCCGCAGGGTGCCCCTCTCCCCGCCCCGGACTGCTTTGCAGAGGAGCAGCACTGGGATGCTCTGGGCGTCTCTTGGCCCCGTGGCATCCCTTCCTGCTGCTGCACCCCAGTTCATAGGGGCGATGCCCCAGTATCCTGATCCCGCTCGCCGGCACAGCGACCATCTGGCAGCACTGCCTTCCTGTTCCCTGTCGTGCCAGCGGGTGTGGGAGCTGGGGCCTCGGGGACTCAAATGCCACCCTCTGTTTCTGGTCACCTCCCAGGGAGCACCTGGCTGGGCAAAAGCCTTGCGCAGTGTTTTGGGACCCTCGTGATGTGCCAAGGGCCCCTGTCCCAGCTCTGGCCGGGATCAGGCCGGGGAGGTGAGGGGTTTCCAGGCATGAGCCGTGTCTCCTGCACTCCTGTGCCCCAAGTCCCCTTTCCCAAGGTACCTGGACGATGCCAGTACCCCTCCCTGCTGGGGCCAGCCTGGGCAATCCCCCAGCACCCTCCTCCCTGTGGTGTCCCTGGCTCCCCACTGCCTGGCCCAGCCGCTCTGGGCCCAGGGCTCTGCCCATCCCGAACCCTTGTCCCCTTGTCCCCTTGCCCACCCCTGAGCCCTGGCTGCCGGTGCTGGAGACGTGGTGTCGGCCTCTTCCTAGGCATGTCCCTGTCCTGTCTGCATGTTTGCTTATGTGAGCCTCTCCCCATGGAGCCCCGCGGCCACCCCGTCCCCGGCAGCCTCCTTGGACGCAGGGAGCCCTCTGCGCCGCTGGCAAGAAGAGTGGAGAGGGGACCCCTGGGTAGAGATGATGTGGTTAAGGAGAGTGATGGAATTGACGGGGTGTCCTTGGAGAGGGGGTGCCTGGGAGGTCTACAGGGAGCGCTGGGATCTCAGGGTAGAGGCTGGGTGACAGATCTGTGGGTTGGGGGCAGGACAGGGTGTCTGGCAGAAGCAGGAGGCAGGATCTGGCTGGGGGTGCTGCCTGGCTGCTCTTTGCCCCCACCCCTGGCAGGGGAGAACCAAGGGGACAGACACCATCCCCCATGTCCCCACGCTCAGCCCAGGCACGGGCAGGAAGGTCAGACCCCTGAGAGTGCCCCAGCCTGGGGGACTAGTCCCAGTCCGTGGAGTCTCCTGGGTCCATGCCTTCGACTCTCAGGACGAGGAGCCCGCTGCTCACCTCGGGCTGTGTCCCACGTGGAGCCACGCATCCTCCCACCCGCGGTGCAGGGACCCCGGGGCTCTGGCTGGGGCGGCACGGGGCAGGCGAGGCTGCAGCACAGACTCACGGGAGCCCCTGTTCTTGTCTCCCCTCGGCCCCGCAGCCCCACGGGGAGCAGCCGCTACGCCTCGTCGGCCGAGCTGAGCCAGGGCAGCTCCCAGCTGAGCGAGGACTTCGAGAACGAGAGCCTGCGGGACTCGGAGCTGGATGAGCGGGACGGCGATTCCTACCACTCCTGCCACAGCTCTGTCAGCTACCGCAAGGACTCGCCCCGCTGGGAGGAGGAGGACGATGACCTCTATCTGGAGGAGGAGGAAGAGGAGGAGGAAGAGTTCAATGAGGACTACAGTGAGAACGAGGAAGGCTACCCCAAGGAGGAGGAGGAGGACCTGCGGGAGCAGGGCACCTACGAAACCCCGGAGCGTGATGCCTACCCCCCACCGCAGAAATCCCCTGGGCAGCAGCAGCAACAGGTCCCGCAGCAGCAGCAACAGGTCCCGCAGCAGCAGCAGCAACCCCAGCTGGTCCCACAGCTGAAGCCGCAGCAGCAGGAAAGGAAGGAGGAGAGGAAAGAGGAGAAGAAGGAGGAAAAGGACACTTCTGCACCCCAGGAAACCCCGGAGGCCCTCCAGGCCCAGCAGGGAGTGGATGAAGCTCCCCTACAAGAGGCAGCCCCCGAGCCCGAGCCCCTGAAACCGGCTGAGAGGTAGGAGGGAGATGTTGATCTGTAGCCTCCTTGGGATGGCACTGTGCTTGGTGACACTGAGGATGTTCTGGAGGTGGCCCGGGGTTGGTGTTGGTGCTGTGGTGCCAAGGGGCATCGCCAGGGACCTTCTGGGGTGTCTGGGGCTTTTCCAGGTGCCTGAGGCATTGAGGTGGGGGAAGCCCACCTTGTGCCACCCAGGCAAGGGTCAGCCCCCTCGGGCATGCTGCCCTGGTCCAGCCACCAGTGTCACGCTAAGCAGGGGCAGAGCTCAAGGCATTTGAGATCCTGCCAGGGCTACCAGGGGTGCAGGTTTATAACCTGGGACAAACGTGGGGATGGAGGAAGTGGGGACTTGGCGCTGCGATTCCTCTCCTCTGGCTCAAGCTATTGACCCCCTGGATGGAGGGATACCCTGGAGCTTGGCACAGTCAGAGGAAGAAATTTCCTTCACAGGAGTCAATCCTCTCCCTAGGCCACTGGTAAAAGCTCGTCTGTGGCCTCCTGTGCTGTACAGATGAATTATTTGGTGTCCAGGTTCCTGGTACAGCATATGAATAATTCATATATCGGTCTCTGCCTTTAATTATTGAACGTGTCCATTTTTACATGGTTCGGTGAGCGCCACCGCTCTGCGCAGAGGGGAAGCGTGATAGGCTTTTTTGGTCTTTTATTTAGTTTAAATTATAGACCAGAGTTGGGGAAATCTCTAATTTAAAAGAATGTGTAAGGAGCATTTTTTAAAAAAATACATATTTAGGCTTAAGGGCTGGCCAGAGTCCTGGCAAAGGCGGCCTTAGTTCATGTCTGCCTGCGGTGCCTGTTCTCCGGACAGGGGGTCTGGGAGGTCCCACGCTGGGCACTGGGGACCATGGATTAGTGCTGGGAACCACAGGTTAACACTGAGGACCCCAGATTAGTACTGGGGACCCCAGATTAGTGCTGGGGACCACATGTTAGCACAGGCAAGGCCCCACAGGGCCGGTTTGTCTCCTGAGCATCCCATGGCCTCATCCGAGCCCAGTCCTGGGCGCCCATCTCCAGTGTCACGTCACACCAGGCTCTCCAGGAGGCTGGTATGTTTGGAGGATTTATTTTCTTTTTTCTCCATGTCTTGATTTTGCAAGAGAGGAGAAAAAAAACCCAGAACAACCAGCGTGTCCAGGGTGGCAGGTCCCACTGGGCTTGGAGCCACTGGGGTGTTGGGACCTCTTAACCCCAGGAGGTCCCAGCGTGGTGGGAAGTGGCCAGAGGACGTCCTGCTGAGGAGATGAGGGGCGAAGGATGTTTAATCCATGTGCTTGTGTCCCTGGCAGTCCCGTGACCCTTTGCTCCTGGAGGGATTCCCTGTGTCGCTTGGGTGCCCAGGGCAGAGTCTCCCAAGGGAGGGGGAACTCCTGGCTTCTCCCCATCGCTCTGCCTTGACTGTGCTGGCCTTTGCAGCAGGACTTGCTACCTTTTTAGAGTCCTTCCTGGTAGCCAGAGGGGTTTCTTGCCATGGCCACACTGGCTCAAGGCCCATCAGGATCCCTAAATTGCAGCCTCAGCCCTGTGCCGGAGTGTGGGGGCTGACTCCCCACTCCCTGGTGCCGTGCTGGGAGGTGAGCAAGGTGTGTGTGCTTGCAGGGAGCAGGCAGAGGTGGAGGTGCAGGACCCCAAAGCACGAGCCAAAGCCAACTGGCTGAGAGCCTTCAACAAAGTCTGCATGCAGCTGCAGGAGGTGAGCAACTCTGCGGCTGCCCGCCGCCAGGTCCCAGCGCCGGCCGCGTGCTGGGCTGGGGGCACAGCCCCTTCCCACGCCTGGGCATCTTCCGCTCCCCGATCCCATGGACGTCCCACACCTTGAGGGCAGTGGGCACCTGGGGCCCCCCCAAGAGTGGTGGCCCTGCAACCCCATTCATGCCAAGTGGGACCACCACGAGGGGCAGGGAGTGCTGAGGACCTTCCCCCGGTGTGTGCTGCATGTGGTGTGCTGGTGCGAGCCCCTCCGCTCTCTCCCCTGTATTGAGTTGACAATTTTTTGTTCTGTTTTTAGACTCCATCCTCCATCTTTTCTTTTTGTTTTGGCTCTGGACTCGCCCCCTGGGGCTTCGATCCCCCTCCCCACCGCTTCTCTTTTCAGTTGTCCACCACCATGGCCCTTGCATCCGCGTCTCCCCTTCCTGCAGGGAAGGGGTATAGCCTGCCTGCAGGTAAGCATGTCCAACGGGAACGACCCAGCCACGTGTGTGCGTTCCCAGTGTGTGTGTGTGTGTGTGTGTGTGTGCAGGGATTGCCCCATGAGGGAGGTATAATTGGCTCTTTCCTCCCTTCTCCCCAAATAATCTCCTCCTTGCAAGGGAGGTGGCACTGTAGGATGGTCCCTGCACACACCCCATCCCCGGTGTGCTCTGGCTTTTCCCTGTGCTTTGCTCCAACTGGCTGCAGGTCCGTGCAGACCTGCTGAGCCTTTCCAGTGATGCTTCTCCAGTCCCCCAAACCCTGAATTTTTGCACAGTGCAGCCATTCCCACTGCTTTGCCAGCCCCAGCCCCTCTGCTGAAGCCTGCCCACCGCTTGCCCAGCTCAGCCTCTTGAAGATATTTTACTCCCAGTGCAAGCTCTTTGTTGGAAAGAGCCCCAGCGTTTTAGGAACATGCTTTTCTCCACCCACCCTGTAAACCCTTTACATGCTTCCCCAGTGCTGCGGTCGCCGGCTGGGCTCTCAGCTGCCAGCAGCATCGAGCCCTGGGGAGGGCTGCCATGCCCACCGGGGGCTCAGTGCTGTGCCCATGACGGCCGCCCCGTGTCTTGCAGGCCCGCGGGGAAGGCGATGGAGAAGCTAAATCCCTGTGGTTCAAAGGCGGGTGAGTATGTGGGGAAGCCAGTACTTTCTGCCCGCCCCCCCCCCCCCCCCGGGGCCCCGGGGGTCCC